TCTCTTATTGCACTGCTGTCTGTCCTGTTTTGCACTGTTTTGTCTCTTATTGCACTGCTGTCTGTCCTGTTTTGCACTGTTTTGTCTCTTATTGCACTGCTGTCTGTCCTGTTTTGCACTGTTGCCTGTCCCCCTATGCACCTGTCCCCTCCCCTGCAACTGTGGCACAAGAATGTCACTGTGCTCCTCCAACCAAGCACAAGAGTAAAACTTGAAACTTGAACTTCCCAGAATGTGACTCTCACATAAATTGAATCAATTTTGCAAACATGCATGTTGGATGTAATAGAGGTGCATGTCTCACACTGCAGCTGCGTTTTGGCTGGACGTGTCTCTGAAATGCAAGCAGTCCCTTCTGACTTGACGTATTCTTCCACTGAATGTCATCTGGTGCTGTCTCTGCTTGCAGAGGGAAGACTTGCAGATGGAGCTGGAGGGAGCCGCCCACTTCATGCAGTTTGCGTTCGCTGCGTACGGCTGGCCCCTGTACGTTTACGCGAAGCCTTTTACTGGGGCTTGCAAGCTGGCCAGGGAATGGTGGGTATCCTTCCGGAAGTTCCGCTGGGCGTCAGGGTGTGACATGGGACATGCACGTTCCTTATTTCATGCTTATGGCTGATTCCGCTGTTTTACTGGGTTGCTTCAGCTGTTGCAGACGGGCTTCGGAGTTTGACGCCATAGAAGGAGACCATCTGGGCTGTCATTTCACCTCCGTCCTGCAGAGCACTGGGCTCCAGTACAGAGACTTCATCCACATCAGCTTCCATAACCAGGTCCTGGGACACATATCAGGGCATCTGAAAGAGTGATGTGAATGAATTAGCTAATATTCTAATAATAAACTAAATTCTGTTTGCTTTGGTGCATCTCTTTCTCTATGCTTTCATGACTTCGCATTAATAAGATTAGTAGTACGTCACCTGATTTGTACACTCCTGGGCACAAAAATGGACCAAACTCTAACTGCAGAACATTATGCTTTGACCCTGTTTTTTGGCTAGGAGTGTCGTAAGACTGAAAATTAAGAATCTGTTACCAGGGTTGTAAGTAATGACTTAGGACTGTCAGTACAGTGAATTATGCATTTATATTGAAATGGTAAATAAAAAAAACTGTTTCTTTATTGCTTGACTTCAGGTTTACGAGATCCCATTCTATGTGGCTTTGGATCACAGGAAGGAGGCAGTTCTGGTTGCCGTGAGGGGAACTCTGTCGCTCAAGGTTAGAGACAAGCCTGTTCCTCAGCTGCGCTTCATTTAGCTTCAGTGGCCGAGCTGCTGTCTCCTTTACTGAGACGAATGATGGTGTACTTTTCAGTAAGACACTGGATACAGTCATACATGTGTTACCCTAGGGAAAAAGTTCTAAGGAATTTTAAGGATTCGATGTTTAATTGAAACTTAAAAAAATTTAAGGATATGTGGCTTGTCGGGTTAAGATACTATGGCCGTGATTGGAAGGTTGCTGTTCCAAATCCTGTGGTTGTTGACGATTCCACCATTGGGCCCTTGAGCGTGGCCCTTTATCCAATTGCTTCATGTACTGGCTGAAGCTGCCTTGTCAAATATATGCCGTTTTGGATAAAAGCATCTGTTGAATAAATGCTGTAGTGATGTGAAATAAGGTGGCGGTTTGCTGCTATATACAATGTGTCTGAGATATAAATATGTTGGGGTTAATGAATAGCATCATGACCCTCGTGAAATATGCTGCCTTCTGCTGTCCTCCCTGTCCACCCACACCGTGTGCCCAGGACGCGCTGACTGACCTGTCGGCCGAATGTGAGGACTTGCCAGTCGAGGGCGTGAGCGGCACCTGCTACGCTCACAAGGTGGGTGCCTTCATCACAAAGAAAAGTATACTGCCAAGAGTTGCAATGGGGTGGAAAAGTTTCCAGAAACTTTCCATTCCATGGGAAGTTAAGCAGGGGAATTTTTGGAAACTTTCCATGGGAATTAATGGGAATATATGGGAATTAATGGGAAAATTCCAAGAACATTGTGCCGTTATGGAGAACCTTGTGTGTGGAGCCTGTCACATGGCTATTCATTCCAAGTTAATTATTTTCATTTTCAGATTGCAGTAATATTTACACGTTAGCTCCTCAGCATTCACACTCATCTCATTGACGTGTTGTGGCTTTTTTTCCTTTTCCTTTTTCAATGTGACAATGCAATGGTTTATTCCGTTTGGTCTTATATACTTACTGCACTGAGTAAGTTTGTCTGTCTCCACTCCGCAGGGAATTGCACAGGCTGCAAAATACATCTACAAGAAGCTAATCAACGACGGTATTTTGACCCAGGCCATCAGCGTTGCTCCTGTGAGACTTCACACACTTTTCATATTCCTGTTCTGAAGGCATTAATACAGCATGTATGGTATACATTCCCCTGTAGTGTGTATAATGCAACATCATGGAGTCCCGCACTTCATCCCTGCTTAAGTCCTCAGTACAGAATCAGCTGAGTTCTCCTGCGCCTGAAGATTGTTCTACAGTGAGGTGATTTCTCTCTACACAGGAATACCAGCTGGTGATTACCGGCCACAGTCTGGGTGCAGGAGCGGCAGCGGTGCTGGCTGTCCTACTGCGCAGCATGTACCCCACGCTTCGCTGTTATGCCTTCTCTCCACCAGGGGGCCTGCTGAGGTGACTCTTCTGTCTGTAGCTATCATACATATATGCTGTTAAGGTGGAACCTTCAGCGGAGCATTCATGTTATCTACTGTTTTATTGGCCTTTGACCTTATTTATGCTCAAATTCTGTAAATATGTTCCCCCGGTATCTCTTTTCAGCAAAGCACTTGCGGATTACACCAAACACTTTGTTGTCTCTGTGGTGCTTGGGAAGGACCTGGTTCCCAGGTGAGGATGGTGGTATTTTCTCCGTTTTTTGCTGGCTGACCTTTGAAGCACGGAGATGCCCGAGCAGCCCTCATGCTGAGTTTCTCGTCCGCTTTTCGCCCAGGTTGAGCATCCCAAACATGGAGCACTTGAAAGGCAGGATACTGAAGATGGTTTCCAACTGCAACAAGCCCAAGGTGAAGATGTCCGGGCCCTATAGCTCTTTACCGTCGTGGCGTCTGAGACTGTTTTCTGTCTTTTTATTATTATGTGTTTGGTCGTCACATTTACAGTATTAATGATTATTTTAATGATATGGTACATTTGATGTGAGAATTCTTTTATGGTGGAGAATCACTATTGTTTGGTGCCTGATGGCATGTTTAGCCAGTTATCTGTACTCTGTCTCTGCCCACATGTCATTCTCTCCCTCCTGTTGACACCCTCAGTACCAGATCCTGCTACGCGGTTGCTGGTATGAGGTGTTTGGGGGCAAGCCAGATGACTTTCCCACGGAGCTGGAGGGCCGCAGGGATGATCAGCTGACCCAGCCGCTGCTTGGGGAACACAGACTCCAACAGCGGTCACTCTCGGACCAGAGCCTGGCCTCTGAGGACTCCCCCAGCCACGTCACCCACCTGCCCCTCTTCCTGCCGGGCCGCATCCTCCACATCACAGAGGAGGGGCCCTCCCACAGGTCTGCTCACACACAGCTGGATGGGTGATGGGATTGGCTGGCTGGACTGGGCGAATGGATGGGGTGGCTGGACTGGGCGAATGGATCGGGTGGCTGGACTGGGCGAATGGATCGGGTGGTGTGATCGGGTGACAGGATTGGTTGGTGGGATTAGGCGATGTAAATGTGTTACAATCATACACTGAAGGAGTAGTGATGGAGTATTATTGCAAAGACAAGTCTTCAGCATAGCTGCTTGCTATTGTGCATCACTGCATTTTACACGATACTTACGGCCAGATGTGCTGCTTGTCCAGGTCGTGCTTCTCGCAGCCCAGCTACCGGGCCCAGTGGACCAGCGAGGTGGCCTTCTGCAGCATCCTAATCAGCCCGCGCATGATCACCCACCACATGCCCGACGTGGTGCTGTGTGCCCTCCGCAGCCTGACGCAGGACCTGCCCATCCCCCTCTGTCCATCTCCACACAGCAACAGCCACCTCAATGTGGTCTGAGCCAGACTGGTGTGCCGGTCTCCGCCTGCCGCTTCAGGCGAACGGAGAGCCTTGCGGAGAGATGAATCCCTAACCCGGACCTGACTACCCTTCCAAACGCACTCATTTATCTAATGGCCGTGACTCTGTAAGAAGGGACAGGTATCCTTCCTTTCTCACGAGTGGATCTGGGTGAACGATCCCACGAGGGAAACACACTTTCTGCTTAACTGCAATGAACAATGCTGTGTTTGCATTCCGGCTATATGAGCTTTGACTGTGGATTTATTATGGCACTGGGACTTCGAGGTATGTTGATGGAGTCGAGTATGTATTCTATGTTAGTGTGTTTTGCGGTGTGAGCATTTTTTATTGTACAGAAATAATGGAGGTAGTTAGCACATCCGTGCAGTGAAATGCTCAGAAAATACCACCTTACTGAGACCCGCTGAAGCTTCTCCACTGCGGACAAACTGCTTCCCTGGAAATACATTAACGATGCACGATGCTTTATTTAAATAAGTTTACTCTTTTTTGCATGAATGGTCTGGGCTTTTCAAATGGTAACAATTACTCAAATTCCGTTTTTGTGAAGGGTGGTCATTTTGTCCTGCAAATGAATACGGATGTAATCTATTAAACCTCGAGGCAAAAAATGTTCAATGGCCATGTTCAAATTTTAGTAGAAATGTACATTTTTTTTTTGTTTGTTTTATTTACATTAATTGCTTTATTTATTCTGCATTTTTGTTGCATCCCATTCCACAGACCTATTAGGCAACTTATTTGATTTTTTTTATACTGTTTACATATAAGCACGGAACCATTTGATATGATTTAATTACTTTGTCTGTGGGTTAAACATCTTTTGGAAATGTGCTGTTGATAAGCATTTTATGAATGCCATTTTAACTTCATACATATATTTTATCAGGCATGCAGGGCCAGGAATTATCTGATACAGATTTTTTTCAGTAGTTAAAGGATTGTATTTGTTTTTTAGAACATTGAGGTTAAATCTGTATGTGTAAAGTTTGTGTCACGCCTTAGTGATCAATTCTACTGCATGTTTGAGTGATAATCTGTTATGTTTATTTATCTTTATCCTTTAATCCCTGGTCTTGCAAGATGGTTGCAGCTGTTGATATTCCAGCACCATTTTTGAATTCATTTTTTTTTACAAATAAATCACAAGCAAGCAGTAGAACTTCAAAGCAATCAGACATACCGTGCATGCCCTACTCTAGGTAAATTAAATGTTTGTTTATTTTTAGCATAAAAAAATATATGCAATATTTTAGCATTTGTTTTTCACAACCCATTCAAGCTTATTTGTCTGTCGCCTTCACAAAACATGGCTGTTAAATTGCACATTAAATGCACTTGTGCCAGTGGCAAGGAGCATGGATGCATATATGCAAACTCTCAAACCGGTATTTGTGATATAATTTCCTTGATCTGTACTAAAATTAGAAAAAGCAAACTTGAGAATCCACTAGCTGCGTGTGTTGAAGATGATTGTTACAACTGACCAACACAATGTTCAAGCCGGAGTCGCTCTCCCTGAGTTGTGATAAGGTATGTACATTACTGTACTTTGATAAAAGTACGACCATGTGACCGTTGTCATCAGTGGTTAGTTGGAAATGGGTTCTGGTGTTCCCCAGCTTGCCTAGACCCTGATTATTCCAGCACCCGGCTCTAGCACTCCCCACTGCTTCACTTTCCTGCGTGTTCCACGTGGGCTGCTACGGCATTGCTCTGCTAAACCTGAACCCGTTCCCCCCTCCCATCCCCACATCACATGGTCCCGTCCGCCGTCCCGCCCAGAACCAGTTTTGCAGAAACATTACTGATCTCAACATGTTTAGAATCCTGCACGTGCCGAGTTTTTGATTTAATGCCAAACGTGCTGGATCTCTGACAAGTGTTTGGATATCCGAGTGGCCAGGATTTTGCCATAATGTCCACACGTAGGGCTCTAAGTGTCCATGTGAAGGGATTACTGCTTGTTGGGGGTGAGATTAAGGATGCAGTCTTTGGTTTGGGAGCTCAGAGTTCAGGGGTGTTTATCAATACCAAGAATGCAAAGATCGTACTTGTATTCTTGGCAAGACTCCTCTTGCGAACTTGCTTGCCAAGAACAAACTTAGGACACAATGAAACGTGGGATTGTTCTCAATAGCAAGCATGCAACCAATGTATCCTTGACATTTGGGATGGGGCAAGAACGACATCCAGGGATTTTTCCCACCCTCAGTACTTCTATTCTTGAGTAGTGGAACTGTACTTTGGCAACAGATGATGATGTCAAATGGGTACCTGAGAATGCAAGTAAAGTCAAGTATGCATATTGAGAAACATTCCAGTTTTTTTCAGCGTCTTTCCACAGTGGAATCGCAGCTCTGTTAAAATGTATGTTGACTGCAGTGTTTAGGTCTGCCAACAAAGTACAGTAAGAAATGAAACATAATTATTGTCCTAGTTCTGGTTTAAAAAAACATTTTTCTATAAATAGGCCTAAGTCATTTCATTTGTATCTGCTAACCATCTCAGATATCAGAATTGTATTGACCAAAAACAAATGCATTGTGCCATGACGACTCTAGACAGCACTCTTGCCTCACAGGTGTGAATCTGAATCCTGCCCCTGTTGGCTTTGTGTATTTTCTCTCCATGTCGCGTGGGATTCCTCTGGATACTCTGGTTTCTTCCTGCAGTCTATGGTTCATGTGGTTAGGAAAACCGGTAACTCTAATATGCCTATAATCTGTTATGTGTATGTATGTGTGTCTGGTGATGGAATGCCATTCTGACCAGGGCCTACCCCCCCTCTTGTGTCTGGAATAAGCTGCAGGTCCTCCCCCCACCTGTACCCTGTACTGAATAAGCAATAGGAGGATGACTGGTTGGGCTGTATTGTAAATTTAGCATTTTGGTTTAAAAAAAATACTCATTTGATAATCACCTTCATCTTACAGTTGCTGAACACTATTTATAGAGTGAATTATGGGATGCTGGCAAAGATACAGCATCATTACTTGTGTTAGAAGCTTGAAACATTTCAAATTGTGAAGTAATGGGTAAAAATGCATCTCAGAATAAATGGAATCCCACGAGTAAACGCAATGTGAATATTTCTCTAGGAAAACCGAACATTTGTCTTCACATAATTGGAAATTATTATTTTGCCTGCAGTCGAAATTGAATTGTAAATGACAATTGTGACTGTTACACTAAATTAAAAACAATTTGGTTACAATCATTAATCCTGGGACGTCTGCAAATCGACATGGTCCGTGCAGATCGGAAAGGCAGCGTGTCCCCTTGGAAGAACAGGGTAGCAGATAGTCGCGATTCTTTAGCGAAAGAGCTCCATCTCCTGGACATCGATGACATCGCAGTCAAAATATTTAACCAGGCAACGAGAGGTGAGCAGATACATCCCACCTACACAAATCAGTCTTGCAGAATTGTTCTCATTTCACGTATTATTGGCAAAGAAGGGAGGATAAGCAGAGAATGAAACAGAGAAGACATTGTGCATTGGCCAGGGCTTTTGGGATCGCCATCGAAAACCTAAGAAGCCTACTCGGGACTGAGGGATGAACAAAGGAAAATAAAAGCCTTCATTGTTATTGTAAATGGCAGCGCTTTTCTCTTTAAAAAAAAAACGCCGTAATGACCCTGGTGCTAAGCAGACGAACGTATTTCGTATTACGTATTCCATTTAAGATTAACCACTTTAAACCTCACGTACGTGAACTTGTATAAAAACGATTATGCATAATTAAGCTATTTAACTACTGTACAAAAGTACCTGGACTGTTTAGGCACCATAGTTTGATTTTAAAGAGAACTTCCTGATATTCAAATATCTCTATTTTGAAAGTATGTGAAAAGTATAAAAACGAATAAGTACTGATTAAATTGCAATCCTTTGAATACAAATTATAAAAAAGTAGTAATGTGATAATCCTTCAAAAATTCAAATAAACCAGTAAGACTTCATTAAGTCATCTCAACTGATCTGAATTACATAGCACACAGATACTGGTACTGTACAACTACTGCTTCTAACCTATGTCAAAAGAACAGTTCAAATGTTTAAAACAACTGTTTTAAACACCTAGCTGATTAAAAATATATAAACATCTGATGGAATTTCAGTGAGTAATGGTACAGCACATTCGATTTCTGCATCCCGTTGTCTATACAAACCTCAAAACTTACTTTTAGGATTATTAATTAAAATATACATTTAATTATATAAGTCTGAATGATTAGTGCAAGAAACCGGATGGTGCATTGTGTTGTACAGTAATATCTCTTTGCTGATGCCTTTCATCTATAGTTTTCCGATATAAGATAATAGGGAAACTGACAGTTTCCCTGTTCAAATACAACTTTTAGCTGTAATTAACAGATTTTGAATCACACTTTTACAGAATATTCAAATAGCCTATTTCCCAGAACCCATCAATGCGAATTCTAAATGTATCAGACTAATATAAAAAGTCCACTTATAAGTTACATCTAATTTGAAATAGATTAATTTTTAACAGTTGAACTACGATATATTATATTTTGGATTAGCTTGATTTGTTGACCAGTATAAATGCTACAATGTCCAATATTATATATAATGACACATAAACACAATGCAAAGAAAAGCGTCGGGAAAGCCATTATTATATGCATAAATACAACTTTAATATCTTACCGAGATAGAAAGGTTACTGAGACATGCAAAACATACAATGTACACCAATGTACATAAAGTTAAATAAATGGAACATTGCTTGACTATTGTCTCATGTTTGAAACTTTTAACATTTCTATGACTAATTCCATTGCCATGAGGAGATGGTAAAAATAAACGGCATCTCCAGTAAATCCTTAGCACTCACTTACTCGCCTGTTTAGTCGGAGCAGCGCAAACTGCATGGATAGAGTTAGCCGGCAATCTGCCCGATCGTCAAGGAACTGACCGAAAAGGCGACAGTCTGGGTACTAAACAGGGTGACCTGACTCTCCCCCCCCCACCTCCTCACTCACTCCCCGGCTCCTGTTTTTGCCGTGTGACGTCATGGCGTGACGGGCTGGTCAACAAGTCAGCTGTCGGGAGAAAAAGGGAAGAGCGGCGGAGGAGAGCACGGTCCCTTTAAGGGAGGGACGGCAACTTCTCTGGATCCTCTTTATTTTTTCACTAAACCGTCGGGGGGATCTGGGTTTGCATCTATTCGGCGAAGGTGCAGATACTGGCGGAGGGGAGGACGCCGATCAGATTTTTTTAAATAGCAGTTTCCGATCTTAAGAGGTGGGGGGGGAGCGAAGAAAATGGAGTTGGAGGACGGAGTTGTATACCAGGACGACCCGGGCACGTCGGCTCTGATGTCCGAGAGAGTGTCGGGCCTGGCCAACTCCATCTACCGCGAGTTCGAGCGCCTCATCGGCAAATACGACGAGGACGTGGTGAAGGAGCTCATGCCTCTGGTGGTGGCTGTGCTGGAGAACCTGGACTCGGTGTTCGCCGTGAACCAGGAGCACGAAGTGGAGCTGGAGCTGCTCAAGGAGGACAACGAGCAGCTGATCACCCAGTACGAGCGGGAGAAGGCGCTGAGGAAGCACGCAGAGGAGGTGGGTACGGGAGCCGCAGCCGGGGAGACGGGCAGGGAGGGGGTCGGGATCGCCACATAGCTGGCTGCATACGGAAGGCGCCCTGCACAGGCCACGCATGGAGCCGCTGTCTTAGCCGGTTATTTCCAGCGTTACGTGTTCGGGCTGGAAATGGAACGGTCACGATCATATCAGAATCTGGATAGACAGACACGCACACGTAGGCGTTATGGTGTCTGAACGACAAGACGTGTGGAACCTGACAGGTTGCAGTAACTCCCGATTTCAATCTGACCAAATAATACCGTGCATTCGGCAGGTCTGTTGCGTATATTTGTAGAGACGTGCACTGCCATGTAGCTAGTTAGCTAGCTACCCAGACACTAGCTGCCTGTGGCCCAGTGTACCCCAACACCGCGCCACACGCTCCGATTGATATTATACATTTACAACTGCTTGGAAGCTACTAGGGGGGGATACAAGCCGGCCATTCATAAGAGACACCCGTCTGCAACCCGAGATGGCCAGCGGTACGCTGGATGTGTGTCTAATGAGCCGGACACAAGTCGATGCTTTTGCATGGACGCAGTGTCTTGGGGGATGTGGGGTCTTGAGCTGCCCAGCCATTGAAGGTCTGGGCTGTGCGTGCAGCTGCGGCTCTGAAAGCCACGTATTCAGGCACAGGGACAAACGTGCGTCGCTCAGTCGGTGGCCCTAAGCAGCAGCAATGCGCCCGATCCCCTCAATAGCCTCTCACACAAGCCCGTGTTGGAAATCCGCATAAATACTTTAATTAAAATTCACACTCTCAGATTGAGATCTGAACGATTGAATCCCCAGTTCTCCGATTGCTTAGGTGACCGAATTTCCGAAGGCGTTGGTTGCCATATATATCTATATTTAAACCAAACAGACATTTAGTTATTCAGTCGATCTCGACCAGGCGCGTTTGTGCAGACATCCAAACGAAGGATTTACGTTGTTATCCGATCGATATTTTGGCAGTGTCCATGTACGGCACCCTCAGCTGCATGTTTCTTTCTATGAAATTTCTTTCTAAAATGCACATTCACCAAGGTTTGGTAGTAGAGAGTAGGGGAGCCTTCACTGTTTCAGCACATGTCAGTGTAATTTTGTAACTTGGTGGATAAACCAGTACAACCAGAATCTTCCTAGTTCTAATAATACATTTTGTATTTAATAATCCATTCAGGGTTTACACCAGTCATGCACCCTGTACTGCCTGGGAAAGGCTCCAGACCCCCGTGATTCTGACCAGGATAATGGTCAAAAAGTTGGATAGATATTTTATAATATTATTCCCAAGCAGAGATACAGTGTGCAAAACTTGGCTGATGCTTCTAACATTGCCTAAAGATACTTGCCTCGATAGACACTGAATAACCACTGTAGAACTTAGATAATTTTGAATGAAAAATAATATATGTAGTATATTATTGGGGAACCCCAGACAGTACACATTTTTGCTTCCTCTCAGGTCCCAGCGCACCTGTACCAGGTATTCGGTGTTTCTGATTGGCTGGGAACTGGGAGGGAGCAAAAACGTGTACTGTCCGGGGTTCCCCAAGGACTGGGTTGGGAAACACTGTTTTAGGCCATGAAGTCATAAGGTCATCATCACCAGTGAAGCCAGGAGATTTAATTTGTAATGCACATGGATGTTACAAAAGCAAACTATTTTCTTTTATTCTATTGCAAGTCATTAATATTTAATGTGGGTAATGTAACTTATGGTATAGTGCATGACCTTTATAGTTTTATACCACAATTTATGGAGGAATTCCATGCAAATATAATTGAATATAATTTAAAATGATTGCTTATCATCTGGCACTTGTGTATGAGTTCAACAGAGACCTTATTATTCTGCACATCAAACAGAGGATTCCCTCTTTTGTTGAAACATCTCTGTTGCTTTCGTGATTGAGGGCACTTTTCCCAGTCTGAGAAGAGCTTACAGCACCTGCTGCTTTTGTTTTTACTGCTGGTCTGTCACATTTCATTGATTATTATTTTAAAATGTTCTACTTTAACTTTCATGGTTCTAATTGATGGGCGTATATTGTCTAGGATTTCTACGAAGCTGGCTGTGACTGTTCATGGAGTATGTTCATGGAGTAGTTACTAGGGTGGCCAGATAATCAGTGTCAGGGAGGAAACTTTGAGGTAATTCATAAAACTACTTTAAAACTGAAAGGCTCATGTGCTTGGCTAAAGAGTTCAGTTCTTCTTGTGCTTTGACTGGTTTGTTTCCTTGACTGAAAGACCATTTAACCAACTGTTTCACATAAACATTAGTGACACATGCATGATTATAGGAGACTGACCAATCAGCACACAGCAAGAACTCTGAGCTAGGACAGGGTTTCTAAACTACCATTTAAAATTAAAAGGACCTGGATTTCACTTAAGCACAGAGTTCTCCCTGACATGTATTATCTGGTCACCTTAACTAGTTACCTAAAATGAAACAAGTTCTATCTGATGCAGGTACGTACCACAGTAAACATAGTGCACATAGAGTGAATGAGTGCCTTGCAGATGATATCCTGTTTAGTTAGCTTTCTCTCTTTTGTAGCCAGCTCAGTCTGTAGGTTTTAGTGTGGCCGGGTCTGGGGGGGCGGGGGCGGCTCTGGGGCTTAAGAAGCGTTTCTGGGCACAGCTAACCTGCTTACACGGTACCCAGTGAGTATTAAGTCCTGTGAGGCTGGGAAGTGAACAGGAAGTCTTAATGAGAACAGAAAATATGGGAAATGCACAGTACTGACTGGCGGGAAATCTGGGTAACATGAGTCTGTGGGGGGTGGTATCGCAGTCAGCCACTTCAGTCATTTCATTGTTTAGTACGGGCACAAAGATGATGCTGGTTTCTCGTTTTTGAGGCTGCAGCCGGCCGTGTATGCGGAGGGCACTTCTGACGGCTGCGAGGTGTGTGGGATGTCTGACCAGCGAGCTTAGGTAGATGGGGGAGCTGGTGGGCAGGCTGCGGTTTCTATTTGGAGCCGCTATCGCATGGCGCAGATTTTCTGACCGCAGATTTTCTGGATGTCAAATCGGGTTGTTGACTCGGCACTTTCTCGTGGCGCTCTTCAAAATTTTCAAGAGAACTTTTTCGCCAGCAGAGATTTAATCCTGCCTCGTTACTCTGCTGTGTTGTGTTTGCCCCTTCGCTCTGGAGATCAGGTTTAGATAATCAGGTTTAGATAAGCACATTCAACAGTCACCCTTCCTCTAATGTGTTTTCTTGAGGCTGGATTTTGTGTTGTTGTTTTCAGTGGCTGTTTGTCGTTTTACCCATTTGCTAACAACGCGTTTAATTAAGTGGCATGATTATTCAGTAAGTTGTGATTAAGCATTTTTAAATGTTACTGTTAAGTGATGCTGATAGCAGGAAAGCGGCTATTTGGGCAGGGGGGTTGTTATTGATTGGAGAAGTTGTGAAACGATTAGATCGGTAAACAATGAAGGAAACCATAACACGGTGTGGCAGCACTTTGGTCTTCGGGTGGGGGGTTCTGCTGGTTGTGTAACAAGTGTCCAACACATTATCAGCTCTTAAGCACCACAACTTGAACCTGAAACTTCCTGGTTGCTACCTAATAGCTGAAGGTAACAGGGAAGCAGATCGAAATGTGAATCATCTCGAAGGGGACTTGATCTGTCGACCCACTGCTGCAGGTAGAGAAACCCCCTCCCTGCTCCGTGGGAGGTATTCTGCCCCGTGTGCTGTGGCCCTTATAGACCCCACCCCAGCCTGCCCTAGCCTCCCAATGTGAGCCTTTCCTGAAGCAGCCTATATCCATCCTGTGCCTGTTAGTGCTGCAGGTGGTGATGTGGACCCCTCTCTGTGTTGTGTGACTAATGCAGTCGCTCTGCCGTGGCACCGTGAGGCGCTGGGGGGCCCGGGGGTAGCCAGCCTGCCAGCAAAATTGGGTTTGAGGCAGAGCTATGCAGTCTGAAGGGCTTTTTTTGCATCTGAATGAGGCATTTGGCTACTTTTTGGCTTCGCTCTCAAGTGCACTGAAGCTGGCAGGAAGGTGATCCATAGTGCTTATCTTTTATGTTAGTGTTGTTATGCAGTATAAATTGCAAATTTACAAGCTTGCTTCATGTCACAAAAGCAGGATTTTGAGTGTTGTTTTATTGTTTACATCAACGTTGTCATTCATTATCAACATAGGACTTTGCAGCTTGTCGCCATACAGTTCTTCCCAGAACTAACACTGTTAAAAGGAGGCGTACTCATAGAATGGTGGGTTTAGCTGCATGAAATGCGCCTGTCAGACAGGAGCTGGAGTGCGCTCGCTGTCTGGGTTTATTATGTGTCCAGCCGTAAGGTTAGACAGGTCCCGCTCTCATGCTCGCTTCCACAGCCAAGCTGCTTCCAGATGTTTGACGAGTAGGTAGGGTTACAGTCAGGGTATTTCAATGTTCGGGAATCGCTTGCTGAGACCTTTCATTAATCTCTCGATGTTTATATGTGTGTGATTGAGGTAAAGTGCAGGTGATCTATCAGTTCAAGTGCACTTTTAACTAGAGATGCGGGATTTATTGGTTAATATATCTGTACTGACCGATATTCATTAAAAATCGAGTTATTAGTCAATATTGCTGGCTGATATTTCAGCGCTTATAAGAGGTCTCAAAGTACCTAGGACATGTTTATAATTCATTATTATTAAACCCGGCCCGTAGATCAATCTTTCGTTTTCCACAGAACATAAACTGTGTAACTGCATTCTCCTAATCTGTGCTGGCACGCTTAGCAAGTTTTACCGGCAAACTCCGCCGTTCTGCAAGTGGGTGAAAGGTTAGCTAATCGTCAGTATTGGTGATATTAAACATGAATATATCGGTTATCGGTATCAGTCAGAATTTCCGCATTGCTGCTTTTGGTTAGTTGGGAGGGGAATGGTGAATGTGACCATGGAAGGGTTAGGATGTGGATGGTTCAGTGTCTCAATGTGGAGCCTATAGGGGGTTGGGGGTTTGAATCCTGC